AATCCGGACGTCCATTATCCGGATTGCTCTATAATCTGGACCTCAAAGCCACAAACTTTACGCATGCGCGTAGAAAATGCGCATACATTACGCGCATATGCTCTATGCATGCGCACGTTGAAAGAAATGTTTAATGAAGTAAAACAAATATTAAGCTTTTTTTTGTAAAATTTGATACCCTTTAGATCATAATTGCTTTTTATTTCATAAATTATGGTTTGATATTTTTAATAGTATAATTTCTGCATGCCATCTTACCATATTTAAATTGATGATCTATAATCCGGAATCGCTGAAGTCCCGATGAGTCCGGATTACGGACTTTGTACTGTATAAATCTAATATATATCCTAAGACGTGCTTTCGAGACATGAAAAACGCAAGTTAAATTTTGTCATTCGGCTCAGTAGATTGGGAGGTTCCTCCCCTGCAATATGTATCGTGCGAGTCAAGTAACATTTGAAAATTCAATAATTTATGGAATAATGTAGGTAGAGAGGTAAAAATTGACACACATGCTTGAAATGACATGGGGTTTTATTGGAAGCAAAAACAAAAAGGTCAATATATGGCAGTGGGCAGCAAAATGTTAGTGATGCCACATGAGGAGAGCTGTAGCGAGAGAGGAAATCAATCGCTTCATGACTTTGTCACTTTTCTATCCTCACGTCCTTGTGTTATGGTGTTATGTGAATTTATCACATTAATACTGATTGGACCCTTTTTCTTCAAGGAAATGCATAGTTCTGTTATTCAAACTGTCTGCGTGAGATGCAAGGTACACTGAATTGTTACAAAATAGCATCATCCCTATTCTGGCTGATAAACACCTGTTGGAAGGTATGACTTTAATGCAGGACTGTGTTCCACCTCACACTGCTACAAGTGTAAAAGATGTCCTGCACACAACTTTGGTGAGGATCATGTGCTGAGCCGCCACTTCTGTCATGCTTGGTCTCTAAGGTCTCCATGTCTCAATCTGTGCAATTAGTGGTTGTGGGGTTACCTGAAATTACAAATCCGCAATCGTCTGACCACATAGGGATGCTAGAAGACAATATTCAATGGCAATTTCTCACTATAACTACAGATATGCTGTACAGTGCTGTTAACAACACTGTCCCTTGACTACAGGTATTGTTGATGAATGACAGCCGATATGTTGAACATTTGTTATAAAGAATATAATCTTAACTAAGAATCAATTAATATGCTTTGGTTATATAATGTGCCATCTGTTGGGCATTTTAAGCCCTTTTTATTTATTTATTGCTTTCAATAAAACTCCATGACATTTAAAGCATGCGAGTCAGTTTTTACCTCTTTACCTACATAATTCAGTGAATTATTGAATTTTCAAATGTTAATAGGTTTTGGGAGTCGCTCAATACTTGAATTCTTCCATTCAAAATGCTTCCAAGTATGTCAGCTCCTAGAAGAACTCTTATGAATGGTATATATCTTCGAAAATCTGTGTTTTATCCCTCAAGAAGCAAGCTCAACAAGTATTGTTTCATCATGTATTTTGGGTAGTGGTAAGCAAATCTTCAGTTGATCGAGCACAGACATTGAAGTAGAACACCTCTGATCTAAACTTTTACAGTTGCTGCATATCTACTATATTCAGCAGCTGGAGAAATTCCTCTGCCAAACAGTGCTTGAGACAACACTTCCTTTCCAGAAGGAGAGATTTAACTCAGCAACTAAGTTCTTCTCAATATAGGAATGATGTTTCCCACCATCCAATAATGCTCACACACAGAATTCCTTGCCCCTATTCCATAGTCTGATGTGATGGCTTTCAAACATATTTCACATTCTAAGGGAAGTTTGTCAAAACACTAGAATTTTGCTCTTCATCTACTACTTTGTCCTTTATAAGAAGTTAATAGCTTTCATGAATATAGTCAAAGTAACACGTAATGCTTCCTATCCACAAATCAAATATTGACTACTGTGGCACATTTTTGCCATATGACCAAGTTTAAGGGAACCAAGGCAGAATTTCTGTCGCCAAACTTGGGACTTTCTGTCATTATAACTCATTGTTGACAATTTTTGACAACCCTCACAGAATGTACAATTAACTTTTCCAGTAAATGGGTTCAAAGACTCATACCTTTCAACAGGTACTTAAGAAGAAGCAGCAGTAGGTTCATCTCATTGAACTGGTTTATGAAATTCCTTTCACTTCATACCACTTCCAAACACACTTTCTGCTAAAATATTATATTCTTCAACCTCTACTTCATGACCTAGGAAAGATATCAAATTTTCTAGAACCTTTTCATTTACAAGAACTAATTCTCCTTCTTTGACTTATTGAGTCTATACCTGTCCCAAGCCTTTAAGACTTCCGTCAGAAGACATGATTCCAGAACAGGCTATAGCACTGCGGCATAATTTGATGCTGTAATACACCATATCTCTATTACTCCTAGATATCAACCAAGTTTATCACATAAATCAGTTAACTTCATGATAGATTTGTTATTTACTAATGCCAAAAGATCTTGAATGTAAACTTGTTAAATCCTTTCTGCCACACTGGGACTTTAGCTGGTAAATAACTAAATTTCAAGTTCCACATGATCAGCCTTTACTTTAGTCTCAGTCTCCGATCTAGTTGTCATTTGACGTTTCTTAAGTATACATAATATTATTGAACATAAATGCTCTACATGAAACAGAACTTATATAAAATAAATCAGAAACAATCAAAAATTAAATGATTCCTAAATTATATAGTTTACCTCCAATAAGAGTAATATTTGATTCATAAACTTGACAACTTTTGTTCACTACTTAATGCAAAACACAATGTCCTGTCACAAACGCCACTTTTGTTTTAACTTGGAATTCCAATTTTGTTTAATATCCAATTTATTTTCACTTCACAAACGCACAGACACTAATGAGACTATTTATATATAGGGTTTAAAATAATGATCAAATGCTCTGTACAGCTTAATTGTGAATAAAGTTCAATGTTTTCTGTAGCATAATTTAAATGCTGCATAGCTAGAAAGGTAATAAATTTTACCAATCACAACATTCCAAAAAAGGTGGGTTGTCAGATTCATAGATAAAACAAAAATGTACAACAAATGATTAAATAATACCAAATAGGAAATTCTTAACAGAAGTGGAAACCTCCACATACTCAAAATTCTGCTGCACTTACAAAGAGATTTCATCGGAAAATGAAAGTATTTTCTGTTAACTTTCAATATTTGATTTGCTTATCTCTCAGTTCAAATAGAATTTTAAAATCATTCAACAGCTGATAATTAGTTTCAAGAGCTATTAAAATTTCAGAAATTGATAATTGTATTTTTGGACAACATATATGGGAGTAGTCACATGGTGTCCAAATATAAAATGAACAGATAAAAACAAAAAATTATCATTGCTCCTTTATAATATCCCGACATAATATTTTAAGCAATAAACTGATTTTGCCTACATTGCTATTTTATACGAATTACACATCACAAAATTTCAGAGTGCAAATTAACATTTCAACTTAGTTTGATATACACTTTACTATAGCATGGATGGCCAAACATCATGTCAACAGGGGCTACCTGATTGGAAAGTTCAAGATTCACAACTAAATTTTTCAAAAGCCATGAGCCCATATTTTCATTATTTTAAGCGAAACTTTCAAATGCAAAAACATATATGAAGTATTAATTCAGAAGTAAAACAACAAAAATCAGCGTTATATTTTCAAATTTTCACAGGACTAGTTTCGATGGTTTTACCAAACCACCATCCTCAGCTGCGAAAGCGCAAATGAACAAGATAGCATATAATGATCAGATAAGATAAGAAAGCCTGGACAGAAAATAAGCCAGTGGCGGCATCTGTTGATGAAACCAGAACTAAAACATAATTTCTTTAAAGGGTGTGAAGGCAAAGACGAATTGGAATTAGGATTGTTAACTAGAACAGAAAGATTTTTTTGAATGTGAAATGCCTCTAGAAAATCCAGTTCACCAATGGAAGATGATTTTTTGATAATTTTGTCTGTAGAAAAATTGAAAGTGTGATTTTTTGGACCAACAATGTTGGGCAACAGAAGACTTTTGTGTTTCCTTTCTTCTAATACATACCTCATGTACCTTGACATGAAATTTTAAGGCTCTCAAAGTTTGGCCAATGTAAATTAAACCACACTTGTGGAATCTTGTAAATACCCCAAGAATTCATATACAGAATGGGGTCCTTGAGTATGGGACTCGGAATTTTATTGATGGGAGAATAAATGACCCAAAAGTTAAATTTCTGCAAAATATGTGCAACTTTATAGCTAATTGATGGAAAGAAGGAAATGACAACAGAATTTTTATAATCTCCTAAAACAAGAGTGTGCCCTTTAGTGTGTTGAGATGAGAATTTTTTAACTGCTTGATTAATAATGTTGGGTGAAAAGACCCTTTCAATAGCTATTGCTTTTAAATAATTTAGTTCATCAAGGGATAGTTTGCAAGAGCAAACTTGTAGAGCATGGAAAACATAGGAATAAAACGAGGCTAACTTTTGTTTAGTCGGATGACATGAGTTAAAGTGTGGTGGAAGGCAAACTGATGAAGGTTTACAGTAACCGTAGTACTGAAGTTGGATGTGTTACGTGCGACCAGAATGTCGAGAAACGGAAAGAGAATTGCTATGATATTTAACAAATGCAACATTTACATTATAAAAGTTCTTATTTATTACAGTAACAACTCCAATTATCCAAACTTCTACTATCTGAATCGTTTTCAGAATTTTTTAGAATCAACTGAAGAAGAGAAAGGAAAAGAGAAAAAGCTCAAGAAAAGGAAAGGGAAGAGACAGGAGAAGATGAGGATGACATGTCACTTGAGGAATTAAAGAAACATTTTTTTGAAAATTGCTGGATGTTCAGAAGTTAGTACTGAGGATACAGCAGAATGAATGGTGTGCGATTCGTCAGACCCTGGGTTTTAAATTCTAAATGATAATGAACTTACTGAAAGTGTGAGAGAAGAAAGTTTCAAGGAAGAAGATGTTTCGAAGTTGAAGCAGACATGGGACCATCAGCTAGTGAAGGGTTTGCCGGCCTTGAAGTGGATAGAGTGTCAGCCCGAGTGTGACCACATGCAACTTCTCACTGTCAAGAGGATGTACGACTTGGCTGCCCTAAAGCAGATGAAGACAATCAAACAGCTTACTTTGATAGAGATGTTCAGCACTTGTAAGTACTGTACAGTACGCTATATAAATGCACATTAAAACCTCTTTTTCTTTAAACATAGTTTTTTTCCCATTTTCAACACACAGTAAATACAGTAATTAAAGGGTACGTCAGACATTTTCTTTGGAAAAAATCCAATTATCTGAATTTTTTATTATCTGAATAGGGTGCGGTACCAATTGATTCGGGTAATTGGAGTTCTATTGTACTTGTATATTATTGCACAAGTCATGTTCGTAAGTAAATCACAGAACACTATATATTAGTGTAATATCTTGGTTTTATTATCTTTTAATAATATGTTTATTTATTATCTTATCTGTCAGTTTATAATATAACCAGTTATTTATCAACGTAGAATGGCGCAGATTTTATATAAACACGCAAAACACATTTGTATGTAAAACCTATTTGATTTATATAAAAATCTCCACAAATCTAGAGTGGAGAAGTATCTTTTCTTTCTTTCTTCTTTTTCTTAATGCTATACTTTACATCAACATGTTCTTTTTCTTAAACAGACTTATTCATTTATTATCAGTATGTATCTCAGTGAAAGCAGAGAGAAATCTGTGTCTTGCACTCACATGCATAGACAGAAAAAGTCTTAAATAACTGATTAAAATCACCTGATGTCAAATATTATACCTTGACTGAAGCAATCTTGTACTTCACAATTGGTCAAGGGAAAATATGTTTTTTTTTTATTCTTTCTTCATGCTACATACCTTTCAACTGGTTCCTCAAAAGCATGCTTTTATTTTTTGGCTCGTGAAATCCTTGATTTTTTTTTTTTTTAACTTTTCACTTTTTTTTATGCATACTAAATTTATTGGGGGAGGTGCCCAGGAAAATGTTTTGCATAAGGGCCCAAGAGTTCTAGTTACGCCACTAGCAGTGGCAATACATTTTTCCCTGTACACAGACTAGTGTAGGCACCGTAGATATCAGCAGACATGCATGTCCTCGTGTAAATGGATCTTTTCAGATGACTATTTCCATATACAATTTTATGCAGAAAAACAAAAATCAACAAGTAACATCATGGCCAATTTAAAGAGACCATGGAGGTCAATGATTTTTTTTTTTTTTTTTTCTTTTCTTTTTCTCACAAGAATTCTTTATTCTTTTTAATACAGTCAAAAGTCATTAATTCAAGACACCCATAATCCGGACCTCAAAGCTACAAACTTTCTGCGTATGCATCGCATTTATGCGTGCGCGTAAGACCTTTACGACTGTGAATTTGCGTCTGAGCATGCGCGTTTAATGTATAACGGACGATATAAGCTAAGCTAAAATTATCTAATTCAGTTAATGTTGCAGATTGTGTTGTTCCTTAATCTTCGAATTGGATCAGGCTTATTATTTTTTGCAGACTGTTAAAGCAATTTTATAAAAGTAAGCTTGAACTTTCGATTATGTCAAATAGAATTTCCGATATATAATCATAGACTCCAACCTTCAGCAAACCTTGTCAGTAGTCAACGCGCGAACGACATTTTTACAACTTTGAAAATGTGCACGTAGCGTATGTTGTAATTAACCATTCATTAATTTTTAAATTAATAATTAATTGTAATCAATTTTATTACATTTAAAATCCATATACATATAAAACTGAATAATTAAAAATATACCTTGTAAATTATATGCACATTTAATTAGAAATTTTCTTTTAACTCCTCAAGCATTCACTAATAAAAAGTACTTCAAATCCATGTTATATTTGAAAAATAAATACAGAACAAAAAAGTGGAACTTAATGTATGGTTAAAACTAAGTGAAATAGGACCAGACAAAGAAATTGATCTTTCTTAAACAGGCCAAAATTTCACACTAAATTTTAGAATTAAAGTATTATAACATAAATTTTGATAATTAAAATGGTAACTAATTTTTATTCTAATAATGTTTTTATGTGTGCATATTTAATGCAAATAGCCAATCTATTGAAAAATTATCATTCTAAAATGTAGTAGTGGTACTAAAATTTTTCAGTTTTTGTTTAGATGGTACGCATTAGTCAAAAGATTGAGAACCACTGATCTACATTAAATTGCGCCTATATTTTACATATTCTCTCTTAAAATTTATTTTATCTATTTGTGTAATTAGCAGACTGTTTAAGGCCTCTATAATTTGTAAATCCTTTTGATATTTTCAAAACATTTTTATAAAGTTTTACAGATATTTTCATTCACTTAATTTACTAAAGATCTATTTTTTTGTCATTCATATGCAAAAATCCCTTAACTAGTCTTTATATTGCTGCCAAGATGTAATTTCTAAAATTAAAAATGCTGGAACCCCATAGAATGTTGTCAAGAATGGGAATACAAGTTACTGATTACAATTATGGATCAAGCAATTAATAATAATGCCCGGCCCGAGTTAGGAAAAGAGAAAAATCGGTGCTTCAATTCCGCGAAGCCCAAACTCAGTTCGTCCAATGTCTAATATGTAACTTTCCATTTTCCCAATATACGGGCCTCAAGTTTACAAATATATGGTCAATCAGGAAGGTCTTACCCCTAAGTTTCAAAAAAAAAATAAATAAATAAATAAATAAATAAAAAAATGAAAGAGAGAGGACGTTCTGCCTTTCCAGCGTGGGAAAGTCACAGTCCTGAAATACACTGCTGGCCACCCAAATTGCAACACCAAGAAAGACAAGAGATATCACAACAAAATTTATTTAGTAGATATCATGTTGAGCAAGTATCAAATGATTAAATTTATAGACTTCTGTGAAGTGTGGTTCCTTCCAGAATCAGAAGCCAGAGTAGCCGCCATTGCTGGAGATCACCACTGCCACACGCCTCGGCATTGATTCAAAGAAACTTTGAATGTGTTCTTGGGATACAGCAGACCCAGCAGCTTCCACACGTTGCCAAAGTTGATCTAGTGTGGCAGCTTCAGATGTAATCTGGGGCAATCGTTCAGCAACCATGGACCCCATGTTTTCTATCAGCAAAAGATCCGAAGTGCGAGCCGGCCAGAGAAGCAATTCAATCTGGCGATTGACGACGACCCTTGGACAATATGTGCCACGTGTGGTCACGCATTATCCAGTTCAAATATGGCTGTGGGCAAGCCCTGAAGGTAAGGAAGGACAACTGGTTCCAACACCTCGGAGATGTAGCGCTGGCTGTCTAAAGTACCGGCAATGCACACTAGAGGACTTTAGAGTGATATCCAATACCGCCCCATATGATAACACCCGGTGCAGGACCAGTGTGGTGGTACATAACACAGCTGTTCAGCATCCTCTCTCCACGGTGTCTCCAGACTCGAATCTGACCATCATGGTGTTGCAGACAGAAGCGTGACTCGTCAATAAAAACAATTTCATTCCATTCTGCCATCCACATCCTTCTTTCACTGCACCATTGGCAGCGGAGACGTTTGTGGTTCTGCATCAAGAGTACACGAAGCAATGGACGTCTTGCGGACAGACTATGCTGTAAACGGAGTCGAATGGTATGCGCAGACACTGGATGATGCGTTACAGACTGAATGTGCTGTGCTATGGTTCGTGATGTGACCGTGTGATCCGTCACTGCCATGCGCACAATGTTCCTGTCATCATGGGAAGTGGTGCACTGAGGTGGATGCGATCGAACACGTCAGTCCGTCATACCCTCCTGCATCCAACGGTCACATATCCACATTACAGTTGTTCGGTTTCGTCCGACACGACTACCGATTTCCCTGAAAGATAATCCACACTCTCGGTAGGCCCCTATCCTTCCTCCGTCGAACTCGGATACTTGATCAAACGATGATCGCTGTTTACTACAAGGCATAATTGATCGTTTTCTTGAAAAAACCTCAAGAAAGACACAATTTCCGAACTTGAAATCGTCGAAAACTTCAAGCCTTAAATAGCATTTTGAAGTGGCGCCACAGGCACGCGTGATGTGATTCTGCGCTGAAATTCTAATTATTTGCATATCTCACCTCCGCTAATGCATGTTGTAAATTTCATGTTATTTGCATGCTTCCCTCAAGGTGTTGCATTTACGGTGGCCAGCAGTGTAGCATGACAAGAAAGAAACTTACCTGCTTTTCTTCGGTCCATACCGCAGAAATGATTGAGATGGAAGAAGCAAAAGAAACTGAAACCTAAAAGTAGTTGCTGAGTGTAATAACACTATGGGAGGTGCTGATAAAGTTGATCAACACCTTACAGACTATCCCACTGCCAGAAAACGTAGAAAGAAATATTATGTAAAGCTATTTTCCCATCTTCTGGATCAAGCATTTTGGAATTCCTTTATTATTTATCAGTTGCCAGATGATGGAAAATGTAATATGAATTACAGAATCTCAATTGTGGAATAAATCATTGAAGATAATAAGCATATATTCAGCTGACATGACCAGAGCATCCTAACATGAACTTGTTGTGACTTACGGGTAGACACTTTCTTGAAGACATTCCACCAACGGGAAAAAAAGGGTGAAGAGCAGAATCGCTTCACCCTTCTTCCACAAACATAACATGGCACTAATTTGGCATCTTATGTTTGTGGCTTTTTACACGAGCAAGAAGAATTGGATATTCATTAATTTCCTTTGACTTTTAAGTGAAAATACATTGATATGTACATGGGCAAAGTCAATGGAGTGCGCTATGCCGAATTTGTACAATTCTCCGATTTTTTTTTTTTTTTTAAGTGAAAATAAGTTGATGTGCACATGGATACCGAGTTTAGGCAATTCTTTAAAATGCACCAAGCAGTGGGTGAACCTGCTTGGTGCATTTTTAAGAACCAACCAGTGGGTGCACTCTCCCCAAAAAGACTACTTCAACCAGACAATATTTCCTTTGTTGTCGTAAAATTGATGAAAAAGGAGAGAGGATACGACGCGAGACTAGAATTTATTGTAAAGACTGTGATGTAGGCTTGTCTTCCATGCCATGTTTCCATATATACCATACCGTAATGGATTTGTGAAATTCAAAGTAATTTGAGGGACATGGAATTCATGACAATTGATATAAATATTTTTTATTGTTATACTAGTTTATTATATTTGTCTTGAAAATTATGTCATTTGACTTATTTTACTATAATATGAGCAAAAATTACTATAATCCATTAACATTTCCCGCATATGTGAAAGCATTGGATATAGTAATTATTTCATTTAAAATTTTGTTTAAAAAAATAGCTATTTCTAACATTTTGATGATAATAATGAATAAAATTAAAGAGAAAAAAATTTTTCAATTTTGGGCATGTTTTTCTCAAATATATTCCACAGGCAAGGGGTTAAAAAATAAACGCCAAAAAACTCCAAATACATAAAGCTAATGAGAACCTAAATCTTTAACTTACAGTGGCTTGCATTTTTCATTTTTATTTCCAAATATCAGATACTAATTTATTAGCAAAATCACTATTTTTCTTTTACATGTATTAGTGATCATCTATTTCAAAACCTACTTATTTTTTAAAAAGTTATTCGAAACAATTGTTTGGTAAAAGACAAATTATTCAAAAAGGTCTCAAAATTAACTCTCATAAGTATTCGGATATCTACAATAAACAGCTTATATTTAATAAAAACATGATAATAACTGGACATAACCATACTTCATAAGATTTCCTTTAGCTAAAATTACACTTTTCATGCACTCTGGTACAGATTCAATGAAATTTTTCATGCAAGAATGTTTAATTTCTATATAATAATTACTTTTTAACAGAGTTTTTTAACATCAGGTTCCCTTATTCTTTTGTCCAATTCACTCTATAAGTGTTCTTATAGGATTCAAGTCTTTAGAATATGGGGAATTTGACAGTTGTACAATAACCACAAGGGAACATTTAGGGCTGTATGTTTAGGATCCTTATCCGGTACAACTCTAATATACACCCTAATTTCACCAAATGTGGCGAAATTTCCCTAATTTCACCTGCGCTGGTTTTGGCACGACTGCGTGTTCTATGGCAACCCTGTTGATGTTGAAAAATCTTTCGCTGGAGCTCGTTGGTTCGCATCTGTGTCTGAGAAGATCGGAGGGAAAGATAAATTGGTAGTTGTTGAATTGAAGTTCGGCAAAAGGAAATCTGATTGTGGCTATCCTGTTGAGAGGTAGTGGGTATTTGGAAGTGTGAAAAGAGGGTCTGAGAGATTAATTTTAATGGCAGTGCATGATAGAAGTAGGGATTAATGATTTTATTTATTTGTGAACCATAGTATAAATTTTCTGGATAGTGTGTCTGGCTGTCATGTAAATACGATAGTGATTACGTGGCGGCATGTTAAAGGCGGTATGAAATTTATATTTCTGCTATTCGAAAACGCATTAATTCATGGTAAGTGGATTTTATTTTATCCTTGTTCTTATTTTGTAGAATGCTATGTTCATTGGTTCTTTAGTATGAATTTCTGTCGTTATTGTAGTTTTTTTAAATTGTTTGAAATTTATTTTAGTTTATTTTGTTGTTTAGTGTCTAGACTGTACAATTCGTAGATGTTTTTTAAAGTTGAAACAGAACGCTGTGTACATGGTATTATTTAAAATTTATTGTTGTTATGTTATTTTATTAAAGCGAGGAGTGCGTAGATCGTAGATTCCTTCCTTGCCTAAATTGCGCAATTCGTAGAATTTTTTTTAAGTTTAACAGGATGCTGTGTACATGGTATTCTTTGAAATTTGTTATTGTTATGTTAATTTATTAAAGCGAGGTGTGCGTAGTTTGTAGATTCGTTCGTTGCCTACATTGTGCAATTCGTAGATGTTTTTTTAAGTTAAAACATGTCGCTGTGTACATGGATTCTTGTCAAATATTTTTGGTTAGAAACTTTACATTTTTGCTATCTAAATTTTTTGTTTTTGTTTCGGATTTTTAGCTAAATTGTGTGTTCAAAACTTAGTTTTTGCATGTGCGAAAACCGCGTTTTTGGAGACATTTTAGGCTAAAAATTCAAAATGTAGACAAAAAATTTAGATAGTAATATAGCATCGTGAAGTTTCTCGCCAAAAATATTTGGCGAGAAATTTGGCGACTTGAGGGCACATATCAGAGTAGTTCCCCTTATCCTGATAGAACTTCAATACGTTTTGCATTCCAAGTTTCCTTGAAGATGCTTCCCGGTTCTCATTAAGAACATTTATACATTTACACTAGACCACATCATTTTCAACACACATTAAATTTCATATTGTAAAGGCAGGAAAACATCCCCAAACCATTATGCCTCTAGCACCATGAATAACATTAAGCAACAAATTTTTGACTTTAATTTGGATTTTGTCACATATTAATGTGCCTATCAAGCCCAAGTATAAGATTCTGACACTTCTGCAAATATAACATTGCTAGAATACCATAACATTTTTGTAATTTTGAGAACATCAGATACTTTCTTCATTCAAGAACTTCCTTCTTTCTGATCACCCGCCGTATTCATGTGTCATAAATAATTTTGGGGTCTTGTTTGAATTTTTAGTAGAATAAATTCGCAATTCCTTTGCATAAGCTTAGAATGCAGTCCAGACTTCAAAGCATTTTCAACAGTTCCACGAAATATCCATCACTTTATTACACCAAAGATAGTTAAAACACTTTATGCCAAGAATTTTTGGGTGTTTCGAATACTTTTATTTACCATCTTTAAAAAGATCAATTACTAAATTTCTAATAGAATTGGCCATTAACTTGTACCATCTTACCTAAGTCTACTTGAGATATCGAACTATTAATTTATTTTGCTAAACAAGCAAAAATTTGCAAATGCAGATCATAAATCTTGTGATATATTTTCGTTTAAAACAAAGATTGTAAAAAGAAACGTGTGCTAAAACACTTCAACAATAATTTGGAACGTCAAAATTATTATGTATCAAATAACACTTTTTTAATGAATTACTTTATTGCTAGGAATATATTGATACTATTTATTTAAGAACAAAAAATAAGCAAATAAAAAAATAATATATTAGAAAAAATTTAAAATCTATATTTCAATATTTAGTACAAGATCTAAGTAAATAAATTTAAAAAATACGAGTGTCCAAAAAAAAATATCAGCCACTGTATATGAAGTTACAGTAGCAAATATAATGTTACAACCATCACTGATATTTCCTATTTCTTTACTTTTGTTGACAACAAAAAAGAATATTCTCAGATGCATTAAATTAAGGAAAAGGGAAATGGAGGAGGTTAAGTATAAATTGCCAAAAAATAAATGATGAATGTAAATTAAATATTTATAATTTATATGTCATAAAAGAAAAAGCTAACTTTTCTCCCCCCCCTTTTTTATGATAAAGTTGGAGGAGATACTGTCCAATAATTTTGTGAGACTACATGACAAAAGAAAAAATTTCTTAGACAGCTCAAACCTCCCAAGAAGTCTTCCTCAGAAAACTTTCTTCTATATATTCAATACTGATAACAAACAGGAAAACGAAACATTTGCAGCTACTGAATTTTTTACCGCTATGCAAGCTAAAGCTTTTATACTGATGGAATTTTCACATTTTTTAGTTTATAATTTTGGTAACAAATGTATCATTAATACATCTAAATTTCAAAGTGTACTTAAGTAAATCAGCTATGAAATATTGATATACCCCACTTAAAAATTTCGTATACGGTTGCGAAAGAAACGCTTTATGTCATTTTCCCTGTCAAGCATTTACACATTACCTACAAATTTGATTGACATATGCACTCTTAAATAATTTAGAATATTTCATAATTACATCATTCTGTTTCAATAAAAACGCAGCTGAAGAACACCCAAAATTTAAATACATGCTATATGAGTGATAGGGTGGTATTTTCACTTTGGTTCACGCACAAAGTAAATTACGTTTAACGTGTCAAAATACATAAATAAAGTTATTTCACAATGCACTAACAAAACAGATTAAAACTTCTGCAGAAAATATCATTTATCATTGCTGATACATATCTTTCTTAAACATCTCTTTAACAAACACCACTACGGAATAACAATACTGACTGAATATTTGTTTATTAAGTTATTACGCGGTGTAATTGTCATGCAACTTAAGAAAAAAAAAATACTGGAATAAAAGCTTTTTCAGAGACACTTAAAAAAAAAAGGCCTTATCCAGCATTATTTTCCGGGAAATAATAAATTATAAATTACTCGGAAATATTCCAAAATGATTAACTTTTTCATTCATTGTATTACTTTAAACAGAACATAACACCACACAGACAGCACACACTTAAATTGTATATATTGCAAAGGAAAATTACCGCTTTTTTCCCCGTGAACAATTTATCCATAGCCTTTAAACTTTGTTTTGGAACCACACAAGAAAGGAGAGAGATATCCAATAACTCTATTTAAACAATATTACAAAAGAGTGCCATCTTACTTGCTCACTTCTTCACGGGTATTATTAATAATTTGATATTTAAAATTCCAACACATATCGCATAAACACACACACCCTGCAAATCTTAATATCTGCAGTACATCACTGTATGATATCTAAAACAACATGTATTCAAACATCACTCCGCTGTCGCCATTTCGATGTCACACAAGGATCAGTCTTTAATCGGACATGATTTACTACTAGCCCCATCTATTCTTCCTTTACTCAAGGAGAAAGTTACTCTCGACTTACAAGATTTCTCTGATGATGTTAGTTTACAAAAGCGATTAGCTATAATGTAACAAAAGTGCTTCAATGTAATTAGTTAGGTAAAGGATCTAAGTTTTTTTTTAACCAGAAAACAAAATATATAAATTCAACGATATGAATTACAAGGCTCATGAATTAGTCGTGAAGTTGATTCTAAAAAGTATGGATTTATCTGCAGTGTAAATAAACATCAGGTTTTTCAAGTGCATTTCAAATACTTAAAACTTTAAAAAGATAATTTAAAAACTCTGTGTCCTTCCTCTAAATCTAACAAAGGAACGAGAAAAACTTCCTGTGATTTCCACTAGTAAGCAGAACATTTACAGCAGAACTGTTAGAAAAATATTGAAAGCGTAGCCTCATGAAATTTATTGCATTTTAATTCTAAATACATTTGAAATGAATATTTAATATTTCAGAAACCCTATTTGTGAGATCGAAATTCCAAGCAGAAGAGAAAAATTCCTAAGAAAATAAGCTCTGGTGATAAAATACTAAATTTAAAATTTAAATGTTTTGAAATTTTGAAATGAGAACGAAGCATAAGATTTGTAACTAGGAAAAAAAAAAAAAAAAAGATCCATATAAATCAAACGTTTACACTTATTCAGATACGAGCATAAAAATTATTTAAATTCTTTAAATTCACACATGTTTCATACAGGAAAGGAAACTCGGTTACCCAAGATTCTCTAAAAACTGCTTGAGAAATATTTGATAATACAATGATATTAATGTCACATTTTGTTTTCAGCCCAATTAATGGCTTAAAATAGCCTTGCGCTTTGAAATATCTGAAGTTTAATTGTTTCGTTAATTTGTCTTCCATTTTCATTGCTGATATCCTTTAAATAAGTGCGATACCGGAGTGCTCGATCTCAAGGACCAGTCCTCATCCACACTTCGAAATAGAGGTTGAAGTGCGATGGATGTTGCACAGTGAACAGAATGATATCAGGCGCTGAGCGTCTCGGAAATAAATTCACTGATCTAGCAACAAGACAGGAGATAATCAAAAATGCAGCAAGAAGAATTTAAGGAACATAACGAAAAGAGTAATAGTTCAAGAAAAATAAAGTATACATACAGATTAAAAAAAAGATAACCAGGTTCATGCCAATATATAAAATACAAAGTATACGGAAATATCACCAGATACCAAAACTCAAACCGAAAGTATGTGTAAAAGAAATGAAATTTTGATTTGAAATTTTGATAAACATTTCTTTAAAAATGTTGAAGAAGACAAATAAATTGAGCGCTGGAGCTGTGGTATTATGAATTTCGTCCATATGAGCTGATATTATATTGTTAATATCGAGAATGAAGTATTCACAGAAAATATTACTCACTTTCTTAATAATGGACTTAGAGCACGAAAATGCTGTAAAAATACTATTTAGGTTGCTTTCCTGACGGTCGATGTTTTCCTTTGGTTTAAAACCCTTATCACATACGATATTTGTTGCCGGAACAAAACGTTTGCTAGAACAGTTCTGAGAAACGCCCTTTGGCGAAATAGGGTTACCATCTTCACTTGATAAACAGACTGAGAGCCAAACAAGAAGCAGTTATCGCTCAGATTGGCGAAAGTGACGTTTCCTTTCAAGTGCCATTCGCTTCTTCGTGTTGTTTTGTATAGCTCACACTCTTTTCGTTTTAAACTTTATTGTTAGTAATGGAAGATAATAGAAAGGTGATTGCTATCAAGTTAATCACTTTGATCTCCATTCTGGCACTTCAAGTAACAGATAAACACACTTCTGGTTATAGTAATCAATTACATCAGTAATAGCCAAATTCTGTATACACTAAAAATAGTTTAAAACGTGTGCTGGATAAGTCTATTTATCAGACATTATTTATGTGTATTTTCTGTTGTCTGCATTGCAATGAAAATTTGATGGCTCACTGGAAACTTTGTTACCTGGTGACCACCTTCTGACCTTGACTAACTCTGTGGATTATAATTACTCTTCTGTCCATTCAAACAAACGGTACAACTCTGATATACGCCCTAATTTCACCAAATGTGGCGATATGTGCTCTGCGCTGGTTTTTGGCGCGATTGCGTGTTGTATGGCAATCCTGTTGACGTTGAAAAATCTTTCGCTGGAGTTCGTTGGTTCCTGTCATGCTTTGTGTCTGAGAAGCTAGGGAGGAAAGATTTAATGGTGAAAGTTGTTGAATTGAAGTTCGGCATAAGGAAATATCGTCGTGGCCATCCTGTTGAGGGGCAATGGGTATTTGGAGGGGTGGAAAGGAAAGAGGGATGGGAGATTATTTTAGTGGCTGTGCGTGATAGAAGTAGGGAATTGTGATTATTTGTTATTTTATTTATTTGTGAACCATAGTATGAATTTTTGGATAGTGTGTGTCTGGATGTCATATAATACGATAGTGATTACGTGGCGGTATGAAATTGGTATTTCTATTGTTCGAAAAAGCATTAATGGTAAGTGCATTTTGTTTTATTCTTGTTCTTATTTTGTAGAATGTTATTTTTATTGTTTTTTTAGTATGAATTTCTGTCGTTATTGTTGGTTTTTTTGAATAAATTTCAAAAAATTTATTTTAGTTATCTTGTTGATTAGTGCTCACCGTCTAAATTGTGCAATTCGTAGATGTATTTTAAAGTTGAAATAGAACTAACTCTGTGTACATGGTATTTGAAATTTATTGTTGTTATGTTAATTTATTAAGCGAGGTGTGCGTAGTTCGTAAATTCGTCGTTGCATAGATGGTGCCATTCGTAGATTTTTTTTTTAAGTTAAAACATATCGCTGTGTTACATGGACTGTTGTCAAATAATTTTGGTTAGAAACTTCACGGTTTTGCTATCTAAATTTTTTGTTTTTGTTTCGGATTTTTAGCTTAAATTGTGTGTTCAAAACGTGGTTTTTGCATTCGCGAAAACCGTGTTTTTGGAGACATTTTAGGCTTAAAGTTCGAAATGTAGACAAAAAATTTAGATAGCAATATGGCAGCGTGGAGTTTCTCACCAAAAATATTTGGCGAGAAATTTGGGGCATTGAGGGCGCATATCAGAGTAGGTCCAAACCAACAAACAGACAAAAAAACCTTTATGACAACAGTCTATATGGCTGATATTTACATTCTCACAGCCAGCAGATACTATTCAGCAGAATGAAGATCAAATAAAGCATATGAATACATGAGCTATCAAACATGTGCGAGTTGTTTATTGTCCCATAGAACCCTCGGTAATATACCTAAAACACATTAATTATACCAACTCTAGAAATTAGGTGGTGCAAATCATGAAGTTTGTTTTATGTGATTACGGCAAAGCCTCGAGGGAATATCTGCCTAACAGGAGGGATCCCTTTTTGTAGAGAATTTTTTTAAAACTGGCTCGTATACCAGTTACAAATGGGGTAAACCAAGAAAACGCCCATGTAGCCAGCCCGTTCGCGGCATTCTAACCTGAGACAGAACTACCAGTGTTCAACGACGCTTCGGCCACTAGTAGGCCCGTGCACTTAATTGGAAAGTACAATTCATTATGTAAACAGACATGAAGGTGATAATCAGTTGTGCACTGTTTTAAGTAATCAAATGTTATAAATGCACAGCTGTTACATTTCTTATTATTTATTAGTCATGTTTATATTACGTAGGATCATAGATATGATATAATTATGAATTAACCCAATAACAAAATGTGTACACTCTTTAGTACTCAAATGCTCATCAATTATTTTTCAACTGATTATTACATACCCATAATAATTTGCAAAGAACTGATAACTATAGTTGCTGCCAATTACATAATCGTTATCTGAATTAAAAAGTAACTTCAAATAAACTTCTTGGCAATGTTCATTTTTATATTCATACATACATATATATACACATCTAATAAGTCATATATTTACATACAGATAGAGAGATGCGATGGTTTAGAAGTTGTTAATATATATTTATTAGTATTAATGTAATGAATAAGATTTATATTAATGAATGTATATACAAATGTTTTTCATCATGCATAATAATAAATCCATAAATTTCCAATGTTTCAATATGTAGCATTTACAATAAAAGTATAGTTTCTAATGTATTTATAATCCAAAAAGTATTTCATTAATAACATGAAAATAATTCACAAATTTAATTATTATTTCATTATTACATAAGCTATGCTTTTCTTTTTTATGCATCTTTTATGCTGTTTAAAATGTGTCACTGATTATGCAATTAACAAGTTAAAAGGTAAGTAATTAGGAGAAAAGCCGCGCATATACAAACGGATTTTAATCCTTTAACTGCTTAAGACGTGTATAAACGGTTTCAGAGTTTCCTTTAAAAATGTTTTAGACGTATTTACACGAATTTCAAATCGCTCGAAAAATGTTTAAGACGTGTATACCGGAAGCCCAAATTCCGCTAAATTGCTTAAGACGTGTTTAGACCAACGAGATAGTATACTGTTATAAGAAGTCGTTGGTTTAGACGATGCGATCTGGTCTTCTTTCCCCTACCTTTCTGCAGGCGGCTGTCAGTTGACACAAAGCTCTTAATAGGGTGTGAAGTCTGTTTCAAAAGAACACTTTACGGAAGAGTTCTGAGAGTTAAGTATCACTGTCAGACAGCAGGTGGTGTTATCTTTCTTACGACTGCAAGCTTGTAAATGAAGATAAATTGTTTTACAACAGTTTGCCTTGTGGTTATTTACGCAAATGAAAGTCAAGCAGAATGGCTCGTTGTTACAATACATTACCGAAATTTAGAAGAAACAGGAAAAAATAATAATTGTAACGTAAGACGTACTTTTGAATAAATCATATATTGTACAATTAAATATTTTATTTTAGCATTAAAAGTTGATTACAATTTCTGATTCGTCAAGAATAGGAAAAAATATAAAATGCTGCAAACATTT